GTCCCCAGGGGCAAAAATGCTACTTAAGCTGTAGACAACAAACCCCGTTTTCCAGTGGGAGTAAGACTGGTTTTGTTGCCTTGTTTTTACAGCAATGGTTAGCACTTTTCTCTTTTTAAACAATTTTTTATAGGCTACTCTGGCATGTACTGTCTATAAAAGCTGCAGTTCTGCTTCCCAAGAAGACTGTTTTGCATCGCTCTAGATTTTTGCAAACTATAGCTAGCTGACTCTGCCTGTTCTCTCTTTAGCCTTTGACACTATTAGTCTATTTTTCCTTCTAAACAGAAGCTCCTGAATGATTCAAGGCTCCTTGAAGTATTTGCGTTAAACGGATTAACACTTGACAAGTATTTATAACACTGGGATCTATGTCAGGCCATCCAGGCTCTCACACAGCAACATCGGCGGATACTAGAGCAGCTCAAAAGCGCAGAACTCTAAACTTCCTTATGCGTGCTTCATTTTTTTATGTGGAAATCGAGACATGGAGTTAAGTGACTTACTCAAGAGCATGCAGAGATCAGGAGTGCTGAGTATAAGGGCTATGCTCTGGTTATCGAGCTTTTAATGCAAAGAAGATGATAGAAAAAATTTTGCAGTGATTCAAGCAGATGCAGTATCTTAGCTTTTGTGCTGGATCTGATACTTTTATCATATACCTGATACATTCTACAGAGTTATCATAAATAAGCATTTATTTCTGTATGAAAAAAATGTTAAATAAAAATTTCAATTCATAGATTACTGTACAAGCATGAATTTTCCTAAGCAGATGACTGTTACTGAAGCTTATAATGCCAGCTGATTCTTATGGATTAGAAGAATCTCAGCAGAAGTAAGTAATAAAATAATAAGTAATTTTAAAAAAGCGAACATACACATAGTGGTAATGATCAGCTACTTGAAGTACTGCTATAATTATTCATGGGTGGGTTAGACACCTGGCTTTTCACGACCGTGGTACTGAAGCTACACAAACAGCCAAAAGAAAGCTGATGTCCCCGTCACTTCATCGTTTCTTAGATGATTAACTCTCTGGGGAACATTGCTAGGCATGCCGTAGGCGCTGGGAACCTGGACACGGATAGCTGTTTTCCCGAGGGCAAGTGCCTTCTCCTGAGATTCTCTCTCCCTGCTTAAACCTGATGTTTACAGGTTTCCTCCTACGCTGGTGTACATCACTGGTGACACACACATTTCAGCATCCATTGCACTGTACCTAACGGGGCTCACCAGTTCCTGTTTTAAGTACCAAAACAATACAGACAGGTCTCAGCCCAGTTTCTGAGCAGCATGGATTACAAATACACTTTGTAATTACAAATGGGAAAAAAAATCCCTCTTCCTCGCTTCTTTTCAAATAAACTGTCCATAAAACAATCCCTACTTGCAGTCTGAGGCAAAAATCCTCACTTTTTTTCAGTGGAGAAAAATCAAATACAGCGTATTAGCATATATTTCATTTTGCAAGTAATCAATCATGACAAAAATAAGAACTTTTGCCCTGTACTGCTATCAAGAAAAGTATTTTTAAGTTGCTTGCATATGTTGTCTGCACAAAGGCTTCTCCTCCGTCTTCAGAGAGTCACTAATAACCAAAACTGTCAGGAGACACACAATGTCCCAGTACGCTGACTGGAGCTGGTAGATGATATTCACAATGGAATCGGAGCTGTAACCACACACCCAGCCTTACATAAATTATCTTCTGAAATTAAAACCTCTTGTATTGGCTATAAAAAGAACTGAGAAAGACATAAAAAAAAATCATGGTAAAGGGCAAATCTCACACGGTATGTTTGATAATGACAGAGCAAAGAGATCTTAAGAGCACAGGTAGTCCCTAGGGAGATATTTACACCATTCTAACAATGGAAAATAACAAAGAAAGGAGCGTTAGCTCAGGAAAAATGGCACGCCAAGCAACATAGCAAAAAAGCAATTTAGCAGAGAGGGGTTTCATCAGCTGGGAGTGGGAGAGGGAAACCAAGTATAGACAATGCGATGGACAGAAGAGAAGCCGAGGATTTACGGTGGTTTTTGCCTACACGTGCCATGTCACTGGTGACAGACACGTTCCAACATCTAGCGCGCTGTCACATAACATGGCTCAGATGCATGACATGAGACTGGAGTCTTTACGCCTGGATTATGCTCATGCTTCTCGGAGGACATTCAAGGCAGCAGAGGGAATGTTACGAGTCCAAAACAGTCACACATTCTACTTGCAATAGGATTATAGTTTGTAACAAGGTCAAAGGCAGGCGAAGCCGCCTTGTCATGGCTTCATCACCAACAGCCTCGGCTGGTTACTCTGTGTAACTCTTCAGAGGTCCCCCCAAGAGCAGTGTTCACAGGCAAACTTTTTTTTCTCACAAGAGAAGCTGATTGGTCAACATGGGATCTGCATCTGCCGCTACCGTCTAAATATGACAAAGCGGGCTTTTATACAACTCGTCATCATTTCGGATGTGATGAGAGAGGAACATGGAATCTTTTAGAGTTCTGAGATATTAAATGCTGGAAAAAAGTGTTCTTGGAAACAGTACAGAATGGGAGCAAAAAAAAAAAAAAAAAAGCTGGGGCAAACTCCAGGATATCAGTATTTACCTTCAGTAAATATTCAAAACCTACAAATGATGCTTATTTTGAAAAACATGAATTATAACCCTGATCTCTCTTAAAAAAGGGCTGCTCAAAAAGACACTGAAAGTTCCACTCATGTTCACCTAGCAAAAAAACTGAGATAGTTTAAGAGACTTATTTCCTCATCCAGCTCCTTACCGCACCCCTTCGCTGGAGGCCAGCATTTCAAGGCAGCGTCCAGAAGGAAACGCACACTCACACCTCAGCTGCTCCACTGCAGAACCTGATGTCTCAGCTCAAACCCACCTCCAGGGATAATCTCAGTCAAGATGAGCTTGGCTGAAGTGTGGGCACCTGCTCCTTTGTGATCACTCTGCTGCAAGGGTGGTGACCATGAGCAGAGATGGATAAGCAGCTAGGATGGAAATGCCTCAAATCCTTCCTGGAGTTCACCTTAGGTTCAAAACCCTAAGCCATGAATTAGAAAAAAACTTAGAAAAATGCAGTATACATAATATTCCTGCATTTAAGCAGAGAAACAACGTTCTCAATGCTCACACAATTATATGCTTGCATTAATACGATGCTAGAAAAATACAAATATCATTTTGGCTAGAAAGACCGCTGTGATAAAAAGTTTTGATCTAGTTATAGTCTTGGTTAAATTAGCAACTTATTTTTGAAGCCATATGATTTTGAGATACTGTCTATTTTTTCTAAGATCTATAGTTAAAGTGCATTTTAATGAACAGGTGAGTATTGTTATTCATCTTTGGCGCTATGACTAGAAGGCTGCAGGAACAGCATACGGTGTGTTCACGTACAATGAGCCTCATGTGTGCATGTAGGGGTGTTCGTCCACTGCATGCAGCTAGGAGATTACAGTACCTCGTTTCCTGTCCACATCTGTCCATTCATCTACACGAAGCATATAAAACAAAAACATCAGTTCAAGAAGTAAGAACAATAGTTTCAAGGAGAATAAAATAAATAAACTAAAAATAAAACCAATCTAAATAACAGACTTTGGTTTTTCTCATCAGCATTCAGCGCTTAACAGGAACAAACTCTTCTGTTACTTGACATCTTCCAATGAGCGCCAAAAGATGAGACCTTGCCCTCCCCTTGGAAAAAATCTTGTTGCTTCAATGGAGATAAAATTTCACCCTTGATCGAATCTTACCATGTTTTGCATTTAGCTTGGAAAGTTTTCAGCTGTTTTTTGCACTTACAAGCGAACAATATTTGAGTGAACAGTTTTAAGCATTAACAAACACCTCAGTGTGGCTGAAACCACATCTCAGTAAAATTAATGCTCGATTTTTTGGAAAATACATGTGTGGATAAACTAGTACAGATCTAATTCTCCTGCTGAGATAGTCCACCAAGTATGGCTAATTTAGTTTAAGCTCTAAGCTTAGACCTATATGAACAGTAGTAAACTTCTGTCAGATCATGCTCTGAAGACACACATGAATAATTAAAAATCGCACTGCTGTAGTGAAACCTTTGATATTGCTTAGCACTTCTTCCCATTGGATAGGCGGAAGGGAAAAAAAAGTAACAGCCTCTTCAATACTGAGTTAATATCGAGTTGATTTTTTATTACAAAATACTGAAGCTTCCCGAACCGCATTCCCCATCACATGTCAGGAAGCTGCAAGAACTTTTAAAAGCAAACCTGTTTTAATTTAAAAGTGGTAAACAAAGAGGTGCTCAGCTGTAAGCTGGATTTTTGGTGCACGCATGTGAACGCACAGGGCTCTACTAAAATAATTTTGAGAAAATGCTAGACCGACAGGTTTTTGTAAAAGCTGGACAAGGGTTTCGGGAGCCATATTTACGTTATTTGAAGTTTTTCTTAATTGCACATGCTTCTTCTGCATAGGCTTTACAAAATTATTCCCAGAAACCACTTCCCATTGCAAAGCAATCCGGTCTTCCTGAAACAGCTCAGGACCTGGATTGAGACACTCAAATCCTGAGTTATTTTGATTCCAAAAGTATCTTTCTGAAGCTCTAGCCTCTGAAGCAAGTACAGAAACACTGAAATGTATTTCAATTCCTACCCTTCCTGTACACACTTCACAAATGAGCTTCAATAATACCTTCAGGCAGTTATTGCCACAGAAACTTCACGAGAGCTGATCGCCCCAACAGGCTTGACTTCGAATTTCGGCCAAGACAAAAACCACAGGCGATCGATCGCCGCGGCAGCGCTGTTAAGCCGTGCTGGGGAACGTACTCGCCCAAGAGCCTCCTTTCGAGGACGGAGGCTGAGATGCCCGGTCGCTTTTCAAGCCTCCCTCCCGTAACCGTTCAGCAAGGACATTCGCGTTTATTCCCGAGTTACGTATGGAGAGCCAGCACCGCAGAGCGAGCGGCGTGCCAGGGAGCGGCCGACCTCTCTGCCGGGCACGGAGAGCCCAGCCCGGGGGACGGGCACCGGCA